ACTAATTGGAGGTTGATTGATGAGTTAGGTCTACTTAATCTTCTTATACCTTTCTCTGTCTGTGTCACAGCATGTTATTGCTAAAGAGAGGAAAGGAGATTATTTGGGAAAGACTGTTCAGGTAACAAATAAGATTTTCTTACTTTTTTCTTTCTTATTTCATGCTCTGGTGTTGGTTTCTTGTAACTCATATAGTTTTTTGGTTGTAATGATTTAGGTTGTTCCTCATGTTACTGATGCTATTCAAGATTGGATCGAAAGAGTTGCGGTTATTCCTGTTGATGGACAAGAGGATCCTGCTGATGTTTGCGTTATCGAATTAGGAGGAACTATAGGTTACACATAAAATCTACAAAATTGCTTTTATCTTTGTTTTGTTTCCTAACTTTGTTTCTTCTGTATAAACAGAGATTTTTTTTTATGTTTGCAGGTGATATTGAATCCGCCCCTTTTATTGAGGCACTTGGCCAATTCTCTTACCGTGTAGGTAAGCATCATTTTCCTCATTCCATTTGAATCCAAAAGAAAAGAAAAGCTGAGTGGATTTGGTGGATATGATGAAATTAACTACTGCATCTTTTGGTTGGTGGTTGAGTTCAGGCCCAGGGAATTTCTGTCTGGTCCATGTCAGCCTCGTGCCTGTGCTTAATGTTGTTGGTGAACAGGTATATCATTTTTCTTGAAATGAAGCATCCATGATGTGACATCATTTGATTATGTATATCTACATTTACTTCATTTGCTTTGTTATTTTCTTTCAGAAAACTAAGCCGACACAGCATAGTGTCCGGGGGCTACGAGGCTTGGGCTTGACGCCAGATATCTTAGCTTGTCGGAGCACTAAGGTTAGTATCTTTGCTTGCATCTTCATCTTGACTTTAAATCTGTTTCATCAAAAAGTTACAGTCTCTTGGTGTATTATATTCTTGTTCTGATATAAAAATCTCAACATTTTGCTTCATTAAGGCCCTTGAAGATAATGTGAAAGAAAAACTAGCTCAATTCTGCCATGTCCCGGTAAGCTGATATAAGATACTGCCGTTTGTCCCTTGTTGTTCTTTACTTGAATTCTCTTTAATTTACCAGCTAATTGTTCTTATTTCAGCTTGAGTATATCTTCACACTCTATGATATTCCCAACATTTGGCATATTCCTTTGTTGCTAAAGGTACAATTTCTTAACTAAAACTATTTTGAAGTCACTATGCTGCTTATTATAAATCACCAAGACAATGCCCAATGCACTTGTTTTGCTTGAACAGGAGCAAAAAGCTCACCTGGCAATCTCAAAAGTGCTCAATCTTGCTAGGTCTGTATTATGTTTTTTTTTCCTGGTATGTGGCTTGTTTGATTTGCGACAGAAATGGATTGGAACTGATCTTTTTATTTGTTTATGAAACAGTATTCTTAAAGAGCCTTCGCTAGGAGAATGGACTTCCAGAGCTGAATTGTGTGACAATTTACATGTGCCGGTGGGTCTCAGCTCTCAGTTACTCCTTAGAAACTGTAACCTTAACATCTCTTTCTTAAAGCATCTTATCATTTTACAGGTGAGAATCGCTGTTGTGGGGAAATATACAGGCCTCTCCGATGCTTATCTCTCTGTCTTGAAGGTAGAACTTAAGCACCACCCCTCATGTGATAGTGTCTGAAAAACTAAATGATTTTTTCTTGCTTTGGTTCTCACATTTGGATAACTTGTTTAGGCTCTCTTACATGCTTCTGTGGCTTGTCGTAAAAAGCTCGTAGTTGATTGGGTTCCAGCTTGTGATCTCGAAAAAGAAACTGAGAAAGAGGTTCGTAAAAACTGATACTGCATTTACATTTATGTCTCTACCTGTTAACAAAATTTAAGCTAGAGTCATTATTTTTTTGTTTCTTTTAAGCAGAATCCAGATGCATATAAAGCTGCTTGGAAGTTGCTAAAGGTTTGAACAATTTGCTATTTTACAATTTAATCATCAAGAAGCCTTGTGTTTTTGCTCATCTCTATTGGTATCTTCGTCAGGGTGTCGATGGAGTTCTTGTCCCTGGAGGTTTTGGTGATAGGGGAGTGGAAGGGAAGATTCTTGCTGCAAAATATTCCCGTGAAAACAAAATCCCTTTCCTTGGTATCTGTCTTGGGATGCAGATTGCTGTCATCGAGTTTGCAAGATCAGTTCTCTGCTTGCACGATGCAAACAGCACAGAATTTAAACCCGAAACCAAACATCCATGCATCGTTTTCATGCCCGAGGTTCATAGATTCTCCGTCCCTTTACTCTAAATGTTCTTTCTTTACTGTTTTATCTGATATTAAATTTGTTTCATGCTCGGTGGGTTTAGGGTTCGAGAACTCATATGGGAGGCACTATGCGCTTAGGATCAAGAAAATCCTTCTTCAATGTCAAAGACAGCAAATCCGCAAAACTGTAAGAACCATTGACCTATAATTACTCTGTTGGTTCAACGTACGAATGCTACAGATTACTTAACATGATTCTCTCACCTTGGTTTGTACAGATACGGGAACAAAAACTTTGTCGATGAGAGGCATCGCCATAGATATGAGGTATGTATTTGTTGGATATCCACCAGTTAATGTGAAAAAGGTGGATTTCTTAATACACACAACACACATCACTTGCAGGTGAATCCTGATATGGTTGAACGCCTTGAGAAGGCCGGTCTCTCTTTCGCTGCAAAAGATGAAACTGGCAAACGCATGGAGGTCTGTTTTAATCTTTAAACATTGTCTCTAGCTCAAATCCATTTGCTGAAAATTCAGTTCACTGACTAATCTTATACTGAAATTGTAGATCATTGAACTCCCAAACCATCCTTTCTTTATCGGTGCTCAATTCCACCCCGAGTTCAAATCCAGACCCGGGAAAGCGTCTCCTCTGTTTTTAGGTCCGAACCCTTTTCTTAATCAGTCTGAAAGATCCAAACTTTACCTCTCTCTTAAGGAACCTGAAATCAACTCAAGTACTTATAACAATCTTTTGCACATTCCTCTTATTGCAGGACTCATTGCAGCGTCTTGTGGCGAGCTAGACACAGTCCTGAATCAAGCCGCTGGTCATCAACATCTGATTAGTAACGGTCCAAAAAACGTTTACGTCAATGGAATCTCCAAGAAATCTCCCAATGGCTTGGCTGATGTAAGATATAACAACGGATACTGCAATGGCCTCTACACTAGATAGCTGCATTTGCCTGAGCTTCCCCCACTTTCTTCTTCCATTATTAGAATTGCTTTGTTTTTTCGATTTTAGTTTGGATTTTGGTTTGCGTTCTTCTTTCATAATGTTAGGATTTTTTTTTTCTTTTCCTGTGTACATATGATCCAAGCCTTTTTGTTCAGGTTGTTAGACTCTTTTAACAGACTATTGTTCTGGGAAGACTCTAGACAAACGTCTGAAAATGGCAGATGATTCCCCTGGTTTGTTTTTTTTTTCTCCTCATCGAAAGGGATTTCATATGATCATATGTATTGCTGGAACATTTTGTATCTCGATTTGGTCCGAATGTGAAAAGACGCATTTGATAAATAAAACTTTAAACAAGACTTTAAGAAACATTTTTGGATTCAGGTTTGGTTAGCATATTTGAGTATTCTGCAAAAAAAAAACTACTTCCAAATTGTCCTTCTTTTGTAACTTTTGTAACTCCGTGAAGTATAAAATACTACGCAATATAACCATTTTTCATCACTGTCAAGTTTGTGAAATTATTATAAATAATATCAAAATTGAAAACTTTGTTTTTATCACCATCAAATTTGTTAAATTATTATAAAATAATATATCAAACCGAAAACTTTATGGAAAACTATATCAAAGTCATTTTAGAAAAGGTTAAAAAGTTAAATGTATATGACAGTTAAACTTTTTAGAAAATACGTATGTGTATATTTTCTGATTAAATTCTGAATACTTTTTGTTCACGCTTGATAGGCAAACTTTTATTAATTTGAAGTTTAAGCATTTTTGTGAAGTCGTATTTTTTTTTTTTGATTCTCAGTATCTTTTTTTGTTTTTCCCTCGTGTATCTATAAAATAATATTTTTCTCATTATAGTAGAACTGATTTTGTGTCGTATTTTGATTTTCAGCATTCTCCTCCCCAAGCCCAATCATTGCTTAGAACAAAACTCTTGATTTTAGCATTCATATTAATTGAAAGGTAACATCTAAGTAAGTTGAACTATGCATTCATAAATTATTTGCTGAATACGAAGAAAGTTTAGTAATATTTTTTTAAAATAATGTATGCACTAGCTATTAAATTCTTGTTGATATTCTGGTTGTATGCATTGAAACTTATACCATACTGAAGCGACTTGCATATAGGCAAAATATTTAGTAATGATTTTTAGTTCTTGCAAGACTGATAAACCATAAAACAAACTGTACACAAACGAATGTCATACGGATTTTTATACGGCTTTTAAAAAATATATATAAAATCAATAAAATCAAAGAACCGAGTCGAAGCCAATTATCAACAAGAATATTCATTCCTGATAATCTGAACGGTAAATGGTAAAAAAAAATGAATATACACGATACTTTCGGAATGAAAGCCTTATTCGCTAAAAAATCAAAATATATCATCTTCCTTCTTGAGAATCAATTCTAGTCTAGTCTAATTTTTGTTCTTGACTATCATCTTTGGACGATAAATTTCCCGAACCGTCTAATACTGACAACATTTTCTCTTACACGGATTCGTCTGTTCATCCTCTTTATTCTTGTTTAAAAATTAGGGAAATTATCGAAAATAGATAAAAATATATATATTCAAGTGAATGTACACATACACTATTTTTTTAAATGAAAAGGTGCAAAAGAACATAGATTTGTAACTGTTCGTGGCTACTTAAGAGACCAACAAAGACTCTTTAGCTCTTTCATATCAAAACCCTCTTCTCATCTTCTTCCCTCGGCAAGGTAAAAAAATCCTTTGATATTCTCCTCAAAAGCTTCAAAACCTATAGGTTTGTTTGTTTTCAGAGCTATGCAGGAACATCGCAGAGCTAATCTGAAAAGAAATATTGAGTATAAACTAGGAAACAGAATCATTTTTGCTGAGCTTAATACAAGAGGAAGAATTATCCAATGTCCAAATTGTCACGTTCCATTCAGACCTCATCTCGGTATGTATATAAGATTCAAATTGTTTTGTTTTCCTTTCTCTTTAGTTACAAAACATGTTTTTCTATATAACTATTCTTAATGTCTACAGGAAATTGGAGGGCAGAGAAGTTTCCATGTGAAAGATGCAAAGCTCACTTATGCTTTAGAAACGGCCCAGCAAGAAGAGCGAGATGTCTATCTTCTAATATCTCGCGTCCTGTGCCAAGTACGTATATTCTTGAAAAAAATCAAGAAACATATATTTTTTTTTTAGTTCCAAAATTGAAAACTTTGGATGTGATTTTTTTAATCTAATTTTTGTTTCATACAAATGTTTCTTCTAGACAATCTTGTGATGCTTGTATGTGGCGGGTGTGAAGCAAAAGTGATTCATCAAAGGCATGATAAAACTGTGAAATGTTCTGACTGCAAACACATCAGTGTCACACCTGTAATGTCTCCTAGTTTCCTTTCTCTATTGTTACAAACATGTTTTTCTATATAACTATTTTTAATGTTTAGTTTTTGTTTTAGCTTGGAAGAGTTTATGGGGTTCGTCCACCTACCCAAGAACCTCCACCAGCTAACCGGTTTCTTCGTCCTCAAGTTAACCTGATTGATTCTTCTGAAGTTAACCAAGTTGGAAGAGCTTATGGTGTTCCTCCAGCTAACCAAGATCCTCTGCATGTTAACGGGGTTGTTCGTCCTCAAGTTAACGTGATTGTTCCTCCTCGAGCTAATCAAGATTCTCGGCAATCTTACTGGATTGAACCTGTTGAAGTTAACAAGGATCAACCTCGTCTTTACCGGCTTGTTCCTAGTCAACTTAACCACGGCCCTCCACAAGCTAACTGGCTTGTTCCTCCTCAAGTTAACCGGGTTGTTCCTCCTCAAGTTAACCAAGATCCTCAGCAGGTTTACCAGGTTGGTGCTCAGCAGGTTAACCGGGTTGTTCCTCCTAGAGTTTACCGCCGAAGGAATCGTGTAGCAAATGCTGAAACTGAATCAACTGCGAGTTCTTCTTTCACTGTGAGTAAATATGTTATCTCTCTCTCTTTATATCTCTTAAAATGTTACTATAGCATATTGCTTTATAAATAATGAGATGCTTTTGACCCTTGTTGCAGCCAAGGCCTGAGATCACTGTCATTGAATACCCTGATAATGCTGTTGCTGAAGCTGTAATCATCTCTTCAAACTTCTCACTGATTCATTCAAGAAAATTATATACAAATATTGTGCTGATTCACTAATAATATTGTGCTGTTTTGCTTAGGTGAGGAATGTTGCTGGAAGCAAGAGAGTAGTAAAAGAAGAAGACAAGACAGAAGCAGCAGGAAGCAAGAAGCCTCGTCTCTGATCGATCTAGTGCAAGAATTTGCATATTTTTCTATTTGTTATCCACATTTTAGTTTCTTATTTTTTTTGTCAAAACACATTATTGTTTCTTTTATTTCCTTTCTACAGTCGATCAAACTCTCTTGTGGAGATGTTTTGGTTTCTTTCCTGCTTTGAAATTTTTATTTGTGTCATGTTTTGAACTATTTGAGATTAATCTTATTACTAGTACTTTTCTGATCAATTCCAAAGTTATGGTTCCAAGATATAAGAAAATATAAAATTACGGGGTTAAAACGTGAAATTCCATACAAAACGACGCGTTTTGGAATTAAAGAAAGAAACGGTCAAACTCTTTACTTTTTCCGACGCGGAGAGAAAGGAAAACAAAAAACAAAAACCCGAAGACGACGTTCGGTTTGTTCAACGGCGATGGCATTGAACCGTAAATAACCACAAAACTTAGAGGGTAAGATAATAATTTTAGCATCAAGATGAGATCGTACGGTACGATGATGTTAACTTAAACACACAGATCCGTTTTAAAAAAAAAAAAAACAGTGTGCTGTGTTGTGTTGTGTTGTGTTGTGTTGTGTTGGTTATCTAACTTCGAGAAACTATACACTCCTTCAAATCATTTTCTTGTCTTTCTCTGTCTCTATCTCTAATTAAAAAAAAAAAAATACAATTTGGTATTTACTAATTCGATTTTTAATTTATTTGGAGGTTTTATAATTATCAAATATAATATGTTTTGACAGAAAAAGAAAAAAAAAGATTCTTGTTATCAGAGAAGATCTCAAAGACACTTCTTCTTCTTATTCTTCTCATGAAATCTCAGCCGTTCGTTTGAGGTATACTCCATCTCTTTACGACCTTTCCTTTTCTTTTTAACCTTTTTAATTATTTTGTAACTAGTTAATTAACTAACAAAAATTATATTATATTTTTTTGTAATGGATTTTATTGTAATGTTCCTTTTCCTGGTTGAGTTCGGTTTGTTTTGTTTTTTTATTTCGGGTCTGAGTTACGTTCCTTCTCATTCGTTACTAGGTCAATTAAAATCTATTTTTCTTAAAAATTTCCCAGATTTGGGTATTTCTACTTTAACTGCGAATTCAATTCCTAATAGCATTAATTGGGAAACAAAAACCAAAAAAGAAAAGAAGAAGCAAAACAACTTTGAAAGCTTCCTCGTTTAATAGGTAAAAATAAAAATAAAAATCTGCAAATTTTATTTTTAATCTGTGATTGAATATAAATATTTTTGATGTTCTTGTATTGTTGATTGATCCTACCTCTCTGTTTTGTGAATTGAATTTAGGGTTAGGGCTTCTCTTTTAACTTCTCTTTGTTTTTAAGCCTTTGGATATATATAATTTTGTCTGATAAACATCGTTTTCTTATCTTTTTTATTTTTGTGTTTCTCAGTTTCGTTGGCTCTCAATCGAAGAAAGCTTTAAGCTCACAGAATTTGCTTTTGAGGATTGATATGGACAATCTCAGCGTTGCTCCATCAGAATCTGAGATCAAAGAGGTTTGTTTCTTCCTTGTTTTAATCGAATTAATCACTTATAATTATCGGTTTCTTGTTAATCACTGAAGATTATAACGTCTGTATCCGTAATCTTGAATCAGAAAAAAACAGTATAGAGATTGTAAATTAGCTTTTGGTGTTATTCATCATTAGATTTGTATAGAGACATTTACTTTTTTCACGGATCTCGTTTGTTTACTTGATTTGGTAAGATAACTAATCATATGATCATTAGAGATCCCCTAGTCTTTTCTGATTTGTTAATGTTGAATTCTAGATTAGTTTTTGTTGTTTTGTTTTGATCTTGTGATGCTGATCACATACCTTTACTCATGTTCAGAAACTTATGTGATTATTTTTTGTTTTTTTTCTTATAGGATATGTCTTTGAAGAATCATCCTCCAGACAAGGATAAGGACAAGGACACAATCATGGAACCACCTAGTAGTCCACGTCATAGGAAGGTAAGAGAGAGTAATATGATGTAATCTCTGATGCAATCCAAAATCTTGAAACAGCTTTGATCTTACATAATGTGTTTTTTTTTTTGTGTATATGTTTAAGGTTGTTGCTAGATGGTTACCTGATGAAGCGCAGAGGCCGATGATCGATGATGCTCCCGTGTTCACCCCATCGTTAGAGGTACTAATTGCTTGATTGAGATTTTTTTTTATATCTTTTTTTCGTTTCTTGTGATGATGTTTTGAGTTCTTGTTCATTGGTTTTTTGGATCATCAGGAGTTTGAAGATACACTTGCTTATATTGAAAAGATACGTCCACTAGCAGAACCGTTTGGTATCTGTCGAATCATCCCACCATCGACATGGACTCCTCCTTGCCGGCTTAAGGAGAAGAGTATATGGGAGCATACAAAGTTCCCCACTCGGATTCAGAACGTGGACCTTCTTCAGAACCGGGAGCCGATGAAAAAGAAACCGAAGAGCAGAAAGCGGAAAAGGAGAAGAAACTCAAGAATGGGTTCTTCTAGGAGACGATCTGGTTCTTCTCCTTCTGAATCAACTTCATCTCCCGAGGCTGAGGAGAAATTTGGCTTCAATTCTGGTTCAGACTTCACTCTTGATGAGTTTGAGAAATTTGCTCTGCATTTTAAAGACTCATACTTCGAAAAGAAAGACTCTAGTGGAGATATAGTAAGATGGACACCGTCCGTTGATGATATAGAAGGCGAATACTGGCGTATAGTAGAGCAACCAACAGATGAAGTAGAGGTATAGAAACAGACCACTTCACCAACAAAACATATATATAGTTATAGACCATCTATATAAAAAACTTAAGACAATTTCTTATTTCTCCTTGTTGCAGGTATACTATGGTGCTGACTTGGAGAATGGGGTACTTGGAAGCGGGTTTTATAAAAGAGCAGAAAAGTTAGCCAGTAGCGATATGGATCAGTACACAGTTTCTGGCTGGAACTTGAATAACTTACCACGTCTCCCTGGCTCTGTACTCTCTTTTGAGGATTGTGATATCTCCGGAGTTTTAGTTCCATGGCTTTATGTGGGAATGTGTTTTTCATCATTTTGTTGGGTAAGTGCACTTTCACTGTTTGATTAGTTAATAGAAGTTTCTTACGTACTGTTCGGATGGTTGATATTTCTCTGTGTTTTGAACAGCATGTGGAGGACCACCATTTATATTCACTGAACTATCATCACTTTGGGGAGCCAAAAGTATGGTATGGTGTTCCAGGAAGCAATGCAACAGCTCTCGAGAAGGCGATGAGGAAACATCTACCTGACTTGTTTGATGAACAGCCTGATCTACTTCATGGCCTGGTTAGGAAGAAACACAATTTACTTGATTTTTATTTATTTATTCCTGTTTAGTCTCCACCATGTTTATTAGAGGCTAACTCTTCTTTTTTATTGGATTCAGGTTACTCAGTTTTCTCCTTCAATCCTGAAAGATGAGGGAGTCCAAGTTTACCGGGTGGTTCAGAATGCAGGGGAGTATGTACTGACATTCCCGAGGGCGTATCATGCTGGGTTCAACTGCGGTTTCAACTGCGCAGAAGCGGTTAATGTGGCTCCTGTTGACTGGTTGGCTCATGGACAGAACGCTGTGGAACTATACAGTAAAGAGACAAGAAAGACTTCTCTGTCTCACGACAAACTTCTTCTTGGAGCAGCTTATGAAGCCGTTAAGGCTCTTTGGGAACTCTCAGCTTCTGCGGAAAAGAAAAATACAACGAACTTGAGATGGAAGAGTTTCTGTGGGAAGAACGGAACACTTACCAACGCGATCCAGGTAATGAAAAAGGATCACTACTTGTGTCATGACACTGAATATGGTTTCTACTTTCTAATGCTTACTTGGTTCATTTGTTTTGAAAATGTTGACAGGCTCGGTTACAGATGGAAGAGGAAAGAATTGCAGCTCTTGGTAGGGATTCTTCGAGCTTGATGAAGATGGAGAAGGACTTTGATTCAAGCTGTGAAAGGGAATGCTTCTCATGCTTTTATGATTTGCATCTCGCAGCTTCTGGCTGCAAGTGCTCTCCTGAAGAATATGCGTGCCTTAAACACGCAGATGATCTTTGTTCATGCGATGAGAAAGATGGATTCATCCTTGTCCGGTACACAATGGATGAGTTAAGCTCGTTGGTCAGAGCATTGGAAGGGGAATCAGATGATTTAAAGATATGGGCTTCCAAGGTCTTAGGAATTGAACTCAGTGATGAAGATCAGACAAAGACTAGTTCAGTTATAAGCCAGGAGAAGAAGCTAAAGGAAGGTTCATTTGATCTCAACATTGACTTGGAGTTGGATTGTCAAGAAGACCTTAAAGAAGAAGCCAGTACCAGTGGTGGCGAGTTAACTTCCTCAGAGAACCTTGGTGTATCAGTCGAGCCTATAAACCTCGGGGTCTTGATTTTTGGAAAGCTTTGGTGCAATAAGCATGCTATATTCCCAAAAGGTACAATCTTCGAAGAACCCTTTTGTTAATGTCGCTTACTCATAAATTTGCTCAAAAGGTTGTTGAGGTTTTGCGGTTTCTACTATTTTTACAGGATTCAGGAGTCGTGTTAAGTTCTACAACGTGCTTGATCCAACAAGAATGAGCACTTACATCTCCGAGGTGTTGGATGCAGGACTCATGGGACCATTGTTCAGAGTAAAGCCTTTTCCCACAACAACATTTTATATTTGATAAAACTGAATCTTGAAAAGTAATATGCTTACACCAGACTTTTCTTGCTTGCTCAGGTTACTCTGGAAGAATCTCCAGACGAGAGCTTCTTCAATGTTTCAGCCCAACAATGCTGGGAAATGGTGTTTCAGAGAGTCAAAGATACACGCACAAGTCTTGGTCTTCCTAGTTTACCGCAATTGGAGGGTGGTATCAATGGGCTTCAAATGTTTGGTTTCCTCTCTCCCTCTATAGTTCAGGTTAAAAAAAATTCTAAATCCAAGCCTTGTCCATGATCTTAAAACCTATCTATGTTCTTAACTCTTTACACTTCAATCATTCTTCTCTACAGGCCATTGAAGCTCTTGACCCAAACCATCGACTCGTTGAGTACTGGAACCACAAGAACCAAGCCTCAGCAGACTCTAAAGATCACTTCATAACATCAAACTGTTCCGTGAGTTTAACCAAAGGAAAACTTTTCGGAGTAGATTTGATGTAGAAAACAAACTCAAGAAGAGAACAAGACAGTACCAACTCCAAGACAACAGCAACAAACAAACAACATAGATAGAATAAATTTATTTCTGATTAAATTTTTGTTTTGGGAGCATTTATTCATAATCTTTGTTCTTTTGATCTTGAACAAATAACCTAACCTTAGAGTTAGAAGTGTAAACTATAGAAAGTTCGATTCTTTTGCTAATGCGAAACTCATAATAATACAAAATTTCTTCTTATATCTCAAAGTGAAAATCTTTACATTATGTACAGAAAATTTCACAAAATCTTGAAAAGATTTTAACTTGAGTCTTTAAAATCTTGAAAAGAACAAAAAGATAGATACTTTTCCCGCTTTTAGTTGAATCTTGACGGTTAATACGCCGGAAAACATCGCCGGAATATAGTAGTGTCAGAACAGAGTCAGAGCCGCCAATGAAACCAAGAACGAGCCAGTTGAGTAATGTGCACTGAACAAAGAAGCACAGGTTTGATTGGTATCCCTATCATCGTCGTTACCAAAAAAGCCACCGTTACCACCAGAACCACTTGAACCACCACGACGACGACGACGGCGGCGACGAGAACGCCGAGGACGGAGACTATCAGCAAAAGCAGTATCATCACCGTCACCAAAATCGCCGTAACGTGAGAAATCAAGCGTGGAAGCAACACCGTGAATAGCAATAGAAGAAGAGATGAAAAGATCCGGTTCAGAGACAAGAACGCCGTCGAGGGTGTAACCGGAAACAGAGTTGTTAGTGACGACGATCGAGTTTCCGGGGAGAAGCGTCGGGAGACGAGAGAGTGGTTTCAAGAGTCGAAGATCACTGAACGAGAGACGTTGAGGTACTATGTGGTAAGCGACGGAGAGACGAAGTGGGTTATTAGCACTGTCTTCGGTGGAGGTGGAGGAGACGTCGGCGGAGTCGAAATCGCTTGGGATGAAAATGGTGGCGGAGAGAGGGATACCTAACTGATCGTCGACGGAGGAGAGGAAATCTGCGGCCCAGTCACGGAAATCTCCGGCTCCGATCATTGCTTCGATGATTCTGTCGGCGTGTTGGTGATCTTGGGAGGTGAGATACGGAGGAGAAGCGGCGGAGGTGAGGGATGTGACGGTGGTGATGAGGAAGAGGAGAAGGAGATGGCTTGAAGTGGCCATCGGAGAGTTCAAACGGCGGGATAAGTTGTAAGAGAAAGAGAGAGAATCTTTTTTGAGTTCGTTAGGATTGTGTTAACAAATGAAGAAGAACTTGACTTCTTCTATATATACCTCCCTGGTTAAATCATTGTGGAAGAAGGATGACTTAGACTGGTTTGGTTTAATTGATAAACCGAGAAAATGTAAATTGATTCCGGTCAAAGAGTCAAAACACTCACTTTCTGTTATGGTCAAAGTCTTATGGTGGATGAACCATCGTAAACCGGGAAATTTTACTCGGTTTTGTGATTCATACATGTATTTTCCTATCTCCAACCAAAACTACTCTTCTCTCTTAATGGTTTGATCGTTATTCTCTCCTTTGCAAACATATATGTATCCAACATACAGTTGGATCTTTATTACAGTTTCATACCATATTACTATCAATTATATAAACGATGAAATTATAGAGAGATAGATACATTAATGTAGATTTCATTACGGTTTTAGAGTACTTGGCACCATCAGCCTATTTGATGATTACGGTGGCGTTGGCTTGAAGTACGGTAAGAGAGGAACGCGGTAGAAATGTTGGCAAAAGAAAAATATGACCGATATAATATACTAGGGATGGACCCGCACGTACGTGCGGGATTGGTTACAAAAACTATGTTTATCGTAAAGTTTCTAATATTTTAATCGACATGATATAAGACTCGGATCGAGTGTGAACTGAATGACTGATAAATTAGAAATCAATTAAATTTGTAAACTATCACATCACATAAACTAATGAAAAACATTAAAACTTTTGAATAAAATAACATAAATATAGATATCAGGACAGTCAAACCCGTTCACTATGCATGTCCTACAACAAATTGAAATATTTTGGTCCACCCACATGAATAAATAGTATGTCTTCTGCTTGCCCGTTACCCATAATTCCATTTTGTATATTATTCGAATTAGTTAAGATAATAATTTTTTATTTTCTAAATTACCCGTTCCCTTTCCGTTATTTCTTGTCCCAATATTTGAAATTTTTAAGTGAAACTTACTTTTGCTATTAAAATTTCATATTCTTGTATCATACCCGTCATTTGATATTTGAAAGTTAAAATTAAATTTAAGTTTCCAAATTTTTTATATAGGCTTGTTTTTGATGAGAAATAGTTTAGATATATTTTTTTTTTGAATTACCCATTCCCTTTTTGTTCCAGTTCGTTCTCTCTAAGATAATATCATATTTTTTTATATATAAATGAAATAATTTACATTTTTTAAAAAAACCAACATTATATAGCTTGTATTTAACTAATTAAATTACTCGTTCTCTTTCTGTATTCGTTATTTCTTGTCCCGATATTTGAAATATTTAAGTAATTTGAAACTTACTTTTGCTATTTAAATTTCATATTCGTGTATGATACCCGTCATTTGATATTTAAAAGTTGAATTTGAATTTAAGTTTCAAATTTTTTATATCATCTTGTTTTTGATGAGAAATAGTTATATAATTCTTCTTTTTTGAATTAACCGTTTCCTTTTGTGCTCGTTCTTTCCTTCTAAGATAAGATTATATATATATT